TCCTCCTCGCTCCCCCGCCTCCTCCCCTCCTCCTCCCCTCCTCCTCCTCCTCCCCCCTCCTCCTCCTCCCCCTCCTTCCTCCTCCCCTCCTCCTCCTCCTCCTCCCCCTCCTCTCTCCTCCTCTCCCCTCCTCCTCCTCCTCCTCGCCACTCCTCCTCCTCCTCCTCCGCCTCCTCCTCCGTAACACTCCTACTCATCCGCCTCCTCCTCACCTCATCACCCTCCTCCTCCTACCCCTCCTCCTCCTCCTCCTCCTCCTCCTCCTCCTCCCCCTCCTCTCAGAAGCTGGCGGGGCTTCCCAGAGGCCCCCCCGCCTTTGCGAAGCCCGCGGTGCCTCGGGGCGGCGACCCTCGGAGAAAAAATCTGCGGTGCGATGGGGCGCTCCGGGGTGGATTCGGCGCTATCGCCATGTCGGGCGTGTCCCCCTCCAGGGGGAGTCTTCGACGAAAAAAAAAATACCCAAAGATACTCAACAAATAGTTAGTCCCCAGACGATGTTTGGATTTGTTTTTGAGCATGTTTGGGGTATGTTGTATCTTTCGTCGAAAATCCCCCTGTAGGGGGACACGCCCGACATAACGCTATCGGGCTGCACGAGTAGACAGGCCCGGGGAGGCATGGCGCCTTCGGGGTGCACGGGTAGAACGAGGAGGCATGGCGCAGATTCTCGGATCGGCGCCGGGCACCCCCCAGCGGCGCCTCCGGCGCCACCCCTGGTGTGCTCCGTGCGCCAGGGAGGAGGTCCAGCGCGGATCCAAGAACTGCGCGCGGAGTTCCCACAGTTGAATGCTTTTGCAGTTCTGTTGTTCCTCTAGGTCGGGGGGGTGGTATTGTCGGGAGCTTCGGGATAGCGTGTCGCTCCGCCGGTTTGTGCCCCACCATGCTGCGGCGCGGCACGTTCTCCGCATCCCGGTCCTGGGCGTCAGCGTCCCGAGCTTCTCCATGCCTCCCGCTCCGCAGCGCGGGGCGACACCCCATCCGCGTACTCGGCAGGGCATGTCGCTGGGGCCGCCTCAGCGACATGCGATGCAAAAGTTCCTGGCCGCAGGCTCAGGGGGGGAACTCTTCGACCCCCAATGGGGCCGATTTCAGGTCGATGTATCTTTGCCCCCTGAGCCAGTCACCCTTGCATCTTTGCCCCTCAGTTCTCGATTCGATCGATCGGGTTCGATGCTCTGACGATGCTGTTTTTTTTTCAAGTGGCGCTCTGGTCTGTGGTCTGAACGTTTTTGGATGTGCACCGGTTATTGTCAGATACCGTCTTGCTTTAACGGAGCAGCTGCATGTTCTAAGCACCCCGCTCTCGTTATTCGGACATCTGGTGCGTTCTAAGAACATGTCGCGGTCGGCCCACAGAGCAATGCCAGGACGTTCGGCCCCCGCTCCACAGAAGGGGCCCCTAAATTGAAGTCGGACGTGTCCCTCTGCAGGAGGAATATTCAAAAATAGTACAAATAGGGAGGGGACGATTTTCTGCATATATCTTGATGATGATGATGATGATGATGATGATGATGATGATGATGATGATGATGATGATGATGATGATGATGATGATGATGATGATGATGATGATGATGATGATGATGATGATGATATATATATATATATTGGGTATTTTCTGCGTTTCGTCCAGAATCCGCCTGTAGGGGACATGCCCGACCTAGCCCTAAACTGCCGCCCGCGCGGGCCCAGGAAGGTGCGCGGAGGGTGGCGGGCTGCCGCGCGGTGCCTGCCGGCATCGCAGATACCCTTGCGGGCGATCGCGCGTCGGCGCGGGCGTTCGACGCTTTCTGGCTTGACGACCCCGTCCTGCGACGGTCCGCGCCAATTTTTCGGGCCTGCGCTGTGACGCCCGAGGTGCCGGCGCCGATTGACGTTGTCGTCGGTTCCAGGAAGGGACCTGAAGCAAAACAGAACTAACATCAACCACAACATCAACAACAACAACAGCAGCAGCAACAACAACAACAACCACAACCACAACCACACCAACAACAACAACCACAACAACAACCACAACTACAACCACAACCACAACCACAACAACAACAATCATTTTCAGACTGTTCGCTCTTTTCTGCTCGAGTGTCTGTTTACGCGTGTTTCCCAAACTCTCGGTACCCGCCCTCTTCGTCTTCGATCGTTGGGGGGTCTAAGTTTCTTCCCTGCAGGCCGGGCCCCAGCAAGCGGCGGGGCGGCCGCGGACCGTCGGCCTGGCCAGCGGCAGCGCTGATCGGCGGCAACCCGATCCCAAGAGGGACGGACAGGGGACCGACCACGACGACGACGACGACGACGACGACGACGACGTCGACGACGACGGCAGCGACGACGACGACGAGGACGAGCGAAGGCGAGAGCGAGACAGAGAACGACAGCAGGGCCACAAAGGGCACGAAGTAGGCCACGAAGGGCGACAGCGGGGACACGAGGGGAATGCGTATGGGACCACGGAGAGCGCGAACGAGTGGGGGCCACGAAGGGCAGATAATGCGGGGCCACAGAAGGCAACGACGGCACCTTGCTTAGTTCGAGAAGCCCCCCCGGAGCCGACGGGCCCGGGTGGCGGGGGTGGGGGTGGCAATCGAGGACTTCTCACGCCATCAGGAGTAAGAAATCCCGTGGAGGCAGGCCGTGGAGGAGGCGAGGAGGGTGGAGGGCGGAGGCGTCCGTCGTCGGCGGAGGGGAGGCCGTGGACGAGGGGCGGGGAGGAGGGCGAGGAGGGCGTGGTGCAGGGCGTGGTGTAGGGCGCTCCGTCGGCCGCGGGACGGCTCGCTCGCCCCCCCCCCCCCCCGGCGGCCACCGCGCCGCCGACGCGCAGAGGACACCCGCGGCGCCGTGCTCTTCGGCGCGGAGGCGCCCGAGCGCGGCGGGCGCGTCGTGACCGCCGTCGCCGGCGCGGGCCCGTCCACGCACGGGGGCCTCGTGACGCAGGCCCGGCAGGGCGCGGCGCCCGGCGTGTTCTAGAGGTCCTGCCTCCGAGCGCGCGCCACTGCTCGCAGAGTGCCTGCTCGCAAACGTCCGAAACGACACGTCCTCTCCGTATGGGAGGTATCGTGAGGCCCCCGCGGCGGGTGGAGGCCACTTGCGAGTAGTAACTTGGGAGTCGTGGAGCGCGCTCGTCCAGCCTCGAGGCCCTCGAGGTTCACAGGGATGACGGTGCCGGGGCCCTCGAGGCCTTCCGGGTCCTCGAGGTTCGTCCTGGGACAAGGCCTCCGAGGCATCGAAAAGTCAAGACGGAGGTGGAAACCCGATCGGGATGAAACACCGGCCCCGGGGAGCGAGTCGGGACTTCTCGGGGGCCGCGCGTGGGAAACATCAAAGCTTCTCCTCCTCCTCCTCCTCCTCCTCCTCCTCCTCCTCCTCCTCTTCGTCCTCCTCCCCCATCCCTCCTCCCTCCTACCTCTGGGCTGGTTCCTCCAGTGCTCCCAGATCTCCAAGGATCTGTTTTTGTTCCGGCCGCGGCTTGCCCCCGAGGGTCGACCCTCGGGGGCCCGTCGAGGGCCCTGTGGACCACCAGAAAAACGGATGCGGGGCGGGACGTTACTCCCAGGGAAGTGGTCGGGGGATCAGCGTGGTCGTGGACGCAGGAGGGGGAGGAGGAGGAGGAGGAGGAGGAGGAGGAGGAGGAGGAGGAGGAGGAGGAGGAGGACGAGGAGGAGGAGGAGGAGGAGGAGGAGGAGGAGGAGGGAGGTATAGGGGGGCGCATGCGCCGCTTCCGTCGCCAAGAGAAGGTAACCTTCGCCAGGCTCACGATCCCGATCCCGATCCCCACACGATCCTGCCCGGCGAGCTCCCGGCCCCTGGTGAGATCACGATCTCGCCTGGCGGGATCCCCAAGATCACTTAAAGTCGGGCCTGTCCCTCTACAGGGGGACTATTCCAAAATGGTCAAAAAATAGTCTGGGAACTATTTGTTCAGTATTCTTTTGCATTTTGGGAGTTGTTTTGTGTATTTTTAGTTTTCGTCCAAAATCGGCCTGTAGGGGGACAGGCCAGACTTAACACTATCCCTCGCCTCGCCCGGCGAGATCCCGATCCCCACGATCTCAGTGCGTGTGCGCCGATCGCTTCCTTCGACTCCTTCGGAGGAGAAGGAAGGTGTGTGCGCTTCGTAGAGTCGGCGTCGAAGTCCGCACCCTACTTCGCCGATCGACGGTTCGGGCAACTCGATGGGCGGCGGGGGTAGGGCTCGGAATTCGTGGAACAAGTAACGAAATCCAAACCCTGCCCCCGCGTCCATTCGACGCAGGCCAATCGATGATTGGTGAAATGGCTCGGACGTCGTCACCCAGATGGAGCGTGCCCAGGAGGCTTCAGACCCGATGAGGGCGGTGGTGATGTCCACGGCATCGCCTCGACGGTTCCTGATTCAATGCCGTAACCGTTGCGCAGACAGATATTCTCGGAGGTCCGCGCAGATGTCTTGGCGCTGGGCCTCCTCCCAGGCGCGCGAAGCGCGCCAGGGGCGGCGCTGAAGGCGCCGGCAGTGGGGTCCACCAGCTCACGCGCTTCCATGTTACATCCGCCGCGGTGTGTGTGTGTGTGTGTGTGTGTGCGTGTGTGCGTGTGTGTGTGTGTGTTTCAATCCGCGGCCCCAGAGGACCCGACCGCTTCCGTGGGGGTCGTGCATCCTAGGGAGAACCGACGGTGGACAAAAAGCACGTCGTCGGAGGTCTGAATCGAGCTCATCCGTCTACTGCCCCCTCCCCAAGCGGCCAGGTGCTGTGCTTTCTCTTCGGCTATAGGCGCATTGTCTTACATCCTCTTCCTCCTCCTCGTCTTCTTCCTCCTCCTCCTCCTCCTCCTCCTCCTCCTCCTACCTATCCTCCTACCCCTCCTCCTCTTCCTTCCCCTCTTCCCCTCCTTCCTCCCGCCCTCCCTCCCTCCTTCTTCCCCCCCTCCCCGCCCCTCCTCTCCGCTCGCCTCCTCTCCTCTCCCCCTCCCCAGACCCCCCCGGGCAGGTGTGCCCTGGCGGCGGCAGGCTCATGTGGAAGATCCGGCAGATGGGCTCCAACCCGTTCGACCCGGCGGCGGCCTCCTTCGCCGCCGCGCCCGCGCCGACCCAAGCGGCGACGGAGCTCCGGGGCCCCTGCGCAGCTGCCGTCGCCTTGGTTCCTCCCCCTCCCCTGACTCCAGATCCGCCCTACTGTTTGGGTTTTTTCCAGCTCAAAATTGCGTCGGAAATCCACCTATAAGAAGCCGAAGAAGTAGGGCGGAAATGTCTGCACCCAACAGGAAGTAGGGCGGAGATCCACAGAGGCAGGGCGGAAGCGGCAACAGAAAAGTAGGGCGGAAATCGGCATCAGCGGGGCTTGAAAAGTGAGGCGGAAATTCCAATCCCTACTGACGAATTTCCCCAAAGTAGGGCGGATCCGGAGTCAGGGTCCTCCTCCGTTCCCTTTTCCTCGTCAGTAACTTCTCCCTGCCGCACCCCGAGGCCCGTTTTTAGGGCGGGCCGGGCGTTTCGCCTGAACTTTCCGCACCATCCATGACTCGGAAGCTTACAAAATGGCAACAGCGTGTCAGATGGAGGGCGGGTCGTTTTCAACATGTGACTCTCGCCTCAGCGCCGCGCACCTTCGGTTTAAGAATGTGCAAGAGCTTCACGGATTGAGGGCGAGTGGTTTTCAAAATGTGGCTCTCGGTTTAGCGCCGCGTACATTCGTATTAAACATGAAGCAAGAGCTTCACGGATTGAGGCGGGTGGTTTTCAACATGTGTTTCTCGCCTTAGCGCCGCGCACATTCGCTTAAAACATTGAAAGACTTCACGGGTTGAGGGCGGCTCTTCAAAGTATGGTTCTTGCTTCAGCGCCGCGCACATTCGCTTTAGACATGTGCAAGATCTTCGCGGATTGAGGGCGAGTGGTTTTCAACATGTGGTTCTCGCCTTAGCGCCGCGCACAATCGTTTTAAATATTGGTTAGAGTTTCGCGGATTGAGGCGAGTTGTTTTCAAGATGTGGTTCTCGCCTTAGCGCCGCGCACATTGAAAGGCTTCACGGATTGAGGGCGGTTTCACGGATTGAGGGTGGATTTAGCGCCGCGTGCATTCGTTTTGAACGGTTGGAAGAGTTTCACGGGCTACCATGATCAACGTACCAGAAATTGCGTTTTGAAAGTATTCTGGATTATGGTGGTGCAACAATTATGTTGATTCGCGCGTGTGGAAGTTCCCGAAAATGTTTTTTGGCACGATTCCAGATCGTCAAGACGCAGCAGTCAGTTTGATCCGTGGCGTGGACATCCCGAGAACAATGTTTTGGCATGCTTCAAGGTGTACGAACGGTTGTCTTCCAACGAGGCAGTTCCCCCCATGAAAAATTCATCGTTGCAGGGGCCTGTGAAGAGGGAGTTTGGAGGGAGGGTTAATTCCAACATCGTTGACGACTCTTGGGTTTACACTCCTCCTCCTCCTCCTTCTCCTCCTCCTCCTCCTCCTCCTCTTCCTCTACCCCTTCATCCCCCTCTTCCTCCACCCCCGCCTCCCTCCTCGTCCACCTTGCTGATCTTCCTCCCCCTCCCGCATCCCGTCAAATCCTCGGTTCTCCTCCAGCTTAGCCTCCTGCTCCTCCATCTCTTCTTCAGTCTCCTCATCTCCTCTCCTCCTCCTCCTTCTCCTCCTGCCCCTCCTCCTCCTCCTCCTCCTCCTCCTCCTCTTCCTCCTCCTCCTCCTCCTCCTCATCATCATCATCATCATCAGCATCATCATCATCATCATCCTCCACGTCCTCCTCCCCCTTGTTCATTGCCTTGTTGTGTGCGACTTGTCGCTGGGTCCTGAACAAGAGCGTATACCGCCGTCCGAGCAGTACGTCTCGTGCTCCAAGCGTTACTGCAAAGGCTCGGCTTGGAGCAGCAGTTCTGCCAAGCATCGCGTGCAATGTGGATGCCGCTTCAAGAACCTTACAGGCCCTCACCAAGTTGGAGCGCCAGGAGCAGGCCGAGGCATCAGTGAAGGCAAGGGCGCCACCCTACTCGCCCAAGCGTGGGCGCTGGCGTGAGCAGTCCAATGGCCAACGCCGCCGCCCCCAGGCTTCAGGCGCCCTCCGTTAGAGGTCGCGTTCGCTGGTGATACTGAAGATGACGATGCCCCAGTCTGAGAGGACCTCGCAGCCCTGGCCACGCGCAGGTCACGTTCTGGCAGAAGTGGAGGCCCATCGGTGACGAGCACGTCGCCGCTTTGGGCGAAGTGAAGGCAGGCCACGGCTGCGGTCTTGGTGTCGAAATCCCTCCAGTAGCAGGCCCAGTCGCTATCCGACCAGCTCGGTGTATGGCGCCAGGAACTTGTGTCCCAGAAGCACGAGCTGGTCGATCTGGTCAACACCATCGCTACCGCATCAGCGATGCATGGCAAGCTGGTGGCCTACGCAGCAGCCACCAAGATGGAAAACCAGCAGTAGGATTCCCAACTCAGCATGGCCACCCAGGCCGCCGCGCAGGACGCCGCCACGGACGCCGACCTGCTTTCCACAATCCAAAGGATCCTCGCGGCCGCCTGCCGCCAGGCAGCCGCGGGCTGATAATGATGATGATGCCGCTGATGAAATTGTGGTGGCGATGACGATGCTGATAGTGATGGTAATGAGTGTGATAGGAGACGAGGGGGAGCGGGGATTGGAGCAGGAGGGCCGCGCGGGGTGTCCGGAGAAAGCAGTAACCAATTAGGATGTGGCGGGCATCCTGGTTCATGCCCAGTTTCTCGTTGGCTGTGTGGGATTGGTGATTATCTCTCTCTCTCTCTATCTCTCTCTCTCTCTCTCTTTCTCTCTCTTTCTCTGCTTCCCTTTATCTCCGTATCTCTTCCTCCCTGCTCGGCAGGGCGCGACAAGGTTGAACGGCCCTCGGGGGCCCCCTCCAGGCCATCCCGCGCGGTGGGCGCGCCGTGATCGCTGATGACGCTGGGGCCACTTTTGCCGTCGCCCTCCTCCTGTCTGCCCTTCTCCTGTCCCTCGTCGCTCTGGTCCCGCTCCTGCTTTCCCCAATGAGGCTCGACTGGGGGGTTCTTACTTGATCTTAATGGTTGGTGTCTCCTATTATCACTTTGCCCGTTGCACGGAGGTTCCTCGGATTCCTCGGGTTCCCCGCTCCCAGTGCCTCCTGTTGTTACGTTGCCCGTTTCCAGAAGGTTCTTCGGTTCCCCGGGCTCCTCGGGTTCACCGCCCCCGGGGCCTCCTAATGTTACGTTGCCCGTTCCTCGGAGGTCCCCCCGGGTTCCTCGGGTTACCCCGGCTCCTCGGGTTCACCGCCCTGGTTGCCCAAGCAATGCCAAGCAATGCCACACAATACCAAGCAATGCCAAGTAATGCCAAGCGATGTCACGCAACGCCAAGCAACGTCAAGCAATGTCAAGCACTGCCAAGCAATGCCAAGCAATGCCCAGCAATGCCAAGCAGTGCCACACCATACCAAGCAATGCCAATCAATGCAACGCAATGCCACGCAATGCCAAGCAATTCCAAGCGATGCGCCCAGCGATGCGCCCATGCAATAGGCTTTCCTGTAAGTGGAGTCGCGCTGGGTTCATTTCACTTGTTCCTACGTCTTCCCGTTTCTCCTCCGCCTCGTCGTCCCAATTTCTCCCCTCGTTGTCGTCGTGCTCCTCCTCCTCCTCCTGATAGTCCTCCTCCTCATCCTCCTCCTCCCCGTTTCTCTTTGACGCCCTTCTCCCCTCTATCCGGTGTGGCCTCCTCCTCCTTCCTTTTCTCCTCATCCTCCCACTCCTCCTCCTCCTCCTGCTCCTCATCCTCCTGATCCTCCTGCCCCTGCTGCTGCTGCTGCTGCTCCTTCTCCTCCTCCTCCTCCTCCTCCTCCTCCTCCTCCTCCGCCTCCTCCTCCCCTCCTCCTCTTCCTCCCCTCCTCCTCCTCCTCCTCTCCTCCTCCTCCTCCTCCTCCTCTCCAGATGTTTCGACGCCCTGGGCATCACACACCGGCGAGCCTGAGTGGTTCGGCCTGCAGCGCGCGTGTCCGTCGCGCAGGCGCGGCTAATTGGGAAACTTGTTATTTCCACGGTGGGCGCCTCTGCCTCTCTCCTCCTCCTCCTCCTCCTCCTCCTCCACTCCTCCTCCTCCTCCTCCTCCTCTCCTCTCCTCCTCCTCCTCCTCCTCCTCCTCCTCCTCCTCCTCCTCCTCCTCCTCCTCCTCCTCCCCCTGCCCCTGCCCCCTCCCGCTTCCGCCGCCCCTCCCGCCTCCAATGCCTCCAGCGCGGCGCCTGCCACCGCGCACGCCACCTCCCCGCCGCGAGAGGACGACCACGGGGCCCCGAAGGCGGCGGTTTCGAAGGCGGCCATGCCCAAGCGGTCTCGGTCCGAGGCCCCCTGCTGCTGCCTCTTGTCTCGTGCGCCTCCTCCGCAATATCCTCGTCCTCCTTCTGCTCCGCCTGGCCATCTCGTGCTCGAGAGCGCTGAAGGTGCGTGCTTCGATCCGGCGCTCGTACCTGCGAGCCATGCTGTACCCCTTGCTTGGGCCCCGGGGAGCCCGTGAGCACGGACCACGATGTGTCTGCGGGCCCCTCGTTCGCAAGATGGTGGGGACTGGGCCAGCTGTGTGCGCTGCCGTGGATGCGGGGGGACCTCCGCCTCAGCGAGTCCGTTGCCGCAGCCGCAGCCCGGGCATCCGCGGTCCGGAGCCAAGGTAGACAGGGGGTGGGACCCGCAGCACCCTCAGAAGCTCACGCGAAGTTCTCGCGCTGGCGCCGGCTTGGGGAAGGGTGGGGCTGAGCTCGCGTGGCTGACGGGGGCAGGGAGGGAGCCCGCGCACGCCGTCGCCCAGGAGCGGCGGCGCGGCGACAGGCTCCCGCGCCCCGTTTGGCCGCAAGCACGCCCGCCTCGCGTCGAGGGGGGCCCCTGAGGAGGGTTTCTCCAGAGGGTTTTGGCGACCCGTCCTCCTCCTTCTCCTCCTCCTCCTCCTCCTCTTCCCCCTCCACCTCCCCCTCCTCCTCCTCCTCCACCTCCTCCTCCTCCTCCTCTTCCTCCTCCTCCTCCTCCTTCTCCTCCTCCTCCTCCTCTTCCTCCTCCTCCTCCTCCTCCTTCCTATCCTCTCCTCTCCTCCTCTCCTCCCTCCTCCTCCTCCTCCTCCTCCTCCTCCTCCTCCTCCTCCTCCTCCCTCCTCCTTCCTCCTCCTCCTCCTCTCCTCCTCCTCCCTCCTCCTCCTCCTCCTCCTCCTCCTCCTCCTCCTCCTCCTCCTCCTCCTCCTCCTCCTCCTCCTCCCCCCCGGGTCGCCTACGACCCTGGGGAAACCGTCCAGGCCCTACCCCTGTCGGATCCGTGAGTTGCGCGCCGAGTCCAATGCGCTGAAGTCCGCCAGCAGTGGCGGAGGGTCGAAGCGGCCCCAGGCTCAGCAGCAAGGCGGGGGCAGTGGCAACCTCACCTGTGCGCAGGCATTCGCATTCTTTCTGTTGGTCAACTTTGGCCAGCCAGCGATCGAGGCGGTCGAGCAGGCCAAGGTCCGCGAGCACGAGAGCAGTCCGCCGTCTGCCATCGCCGCCCAACAATGGGTTGAGAACGAGACGAAAAATATTTGTGGAGCGTCTCGGCGCCAGCGGCAGTCCCTCGGGAAGCAGAAGGTCGAGCTCAAGAAGGGCGCCGTTGACACCACTGTTTTTTTTTCGAGGGCGCCAGGAACGAACTCGAGAGGCACACCCAGATGCTGCTTCGATCTCGTCTAGAAGAGGCGGCGGATCCGACCAAGCTCGGGTTCGCAGGACTTGACAGGTCGATGACGCGCTCGGCCCAGGGACAGGCTGTTCTGGAGACGCTCCGGCGGCGGCAGCAGCGGGCGACGGTGGCAGGCAGCAGCAGAAGCAGCAGCGGCCCCGGTCGCTGAGCAGGCTGATGACGGTGGTGCTCCTTCTGGTGCGGGTGGAGCCTCGTCGGCTAGAGCGGGCGCGGGAGGCCAGCAACCAGCAGCCCCACCCACCCCCTAGGAGACAGGCCACGCCGGCATGGAGGAGGACGGCTTCGAGCCCACTGCTGTGCACACGGCCACGAAGCAGCGGCGTCTCCTGGCCAGGTGCCGGCCCCTGGGTCCACTGAGCACCTCTGGGCGGCAAGCTTCATGGACACGGAGTGGCCCCCTCCCGGCTTCGCAGTTCTGGCGGCGCGACCAGGTTGGCGCCATGGATGGAATGGGGGCACGGAGTGGGGGCAGGGCGACGATGGGCGCTTCGCAGGGCTGCGACGACCTCGGCTTCGGCAGCGTCGAGCTCGGCGACTGTGCCTCTGGATGGGGAGGCAGCCGTCGCAAGCCCCCCCTCTCCAGGCAGACGGTGCCGACCCACCCCTCGGGGGGGACGCGCGCCCGCCGCCCGGGGAGTCGGGTGCCTCTTCTGCTGCCGCGGTGGGTGGCACCGCCAACGGTGCCCACTGCAGGAGGCGCCTGCCCGCCGCCGGCAGGTGGGGCGTGCCCCGGCAGCGGCGGCGCCAGGCGGAGGTCTGCGCCCCGATGTGGGCCTTTCTCGGGCGGCTGCGCTGGCAACGGGGCCCGACGGCGCAGGTCTCTCCGGCGTGGACCGTGGCCATCTCCCATTCGGGTATAGCCAGGACCCCGGGTAAGGGGACCCAGTTAGTGGCAGGGCCCTGGGGCCCCGCAATTGGCCAGATTCACTCAACCAGGCTTGCCGTAACTGGTGTTTTTCGGGTGACGGCAGTTCCGGTTGGTGGAAATGGGACGGGGGGGGGGGCGCCCCCGGTAGAAATCACTAAACCAGGTCCCACTGAACCCAGTGCTGCCAACGCCCGAACATGGGCGGGCCGACGACGGCGGGCGAGAGCTCTGGTGGCGCCGCCGCGTTCGCTCTCCACGGCCGGGTCGCTGGCGCCGTCGTCGGGCCCCCTCGCTCGTCCGTCCAGCGCCGGCGGCTGAGACGGCGCCGCGGAAGGAGCCCACGGCGGGCCGGCGTTCCCCAGGGGGAGGGCCAGGGCCGCCGCGCGGGTCACCACCCACCAAACCACCCCAACCCAACCCGAAGGCCCAAATTTACCGTCGATTTCCAGTGGGGGGGGGGGTCGGGGAACATCGAAAAAACACGCGTGGAACCTTTACCCCCCCAACCCGAAATTCGGGTCTTCGGGTTGGGTTGGGGTGGTCTGGTAGGTAGTCAGCGGGAGCCCGGCGCCCCCGAGGCGGGTGGTGGAAGAGCAGGGAAGGCCGCGCGAAGCAGAGTCGTCCGCGCCAACTTCCTCAGAGGCGGTTTGGGGGCCCCTCAGGGCCCCGTCGTCGTCGCTCGTCGCTCGTCGCTCATCGTCGTCGCGCGCGCGGGCGCGGCTGTGGTGCCGGAGACGCACGGCGTTACGTCATACCCCCCCCGCCCCCCCCCCCCATGACGCCCGTCATCGCCGACCATGAAGAAACGCCTTCTAAATTACGCCCAGGGGGTGCCAGGCAGGTGCGGCTTCCTCCCCGCTGGCGCCCGGTGCGGCTTCGAAGTTCTCAGGGCCAGGACCAGCCCCGCGTGCGGGTGGCTCCCACAGCCTGGGGTCGGGCGAGCTGGTCTCCTTCGGAGTGAGCGCCAACGCGCGGGGGAGCTTCGCGGGCGCGTGCGGCTGGCTCGTCGACGGCGCGCGGGGCGGCATAGCGGCGGTAACGCCCTCGCTTTGCGACGCGCCCCCGCAGGTATAACTAGTGTGCTCCCAGGAGGCCGGGACCAGGGCCGGCAGCGTCGAGGAGCAGGCCTTGTCTTGGGGCCTGAGACATGGGCTGCGCTTCGCCATGGGGCGAGCGGCTTCGACAGGCCCCGGGCTTGCGGAGAGCAGCGGTGGCGCCGCCGTAGATGTCGCCCCGCACCTCGCCTCTAAGAGGCTCTCGCTCCCTGCGCTCACCGAGCCGCGCTCAGGCGCGTGAGCGTGGGCTTCCCGGTGGTTCTGTTCCGCGTGTTCTTTCGCGAACTGGGGCTTCCCCTGCGGACTCGCGGAGAGCTTCCCAGTCCAGGGCGCGCCCTGGGCGGTCCAGGGGGGCCGAAACTGCGCGCCCCAGGAATTGGCAGGAGTCGGACTGGCTCCGCGCGCGCGGGGGTTGTCCTTGAGGCTGATCAGCCCAGGAGTTTCCCGCAGCACACGCAGGCGGGTGCGGACGGGTGCGACTCGTGGGTGAAGGTGGAGAGGAGGCTCGATGACGTTGTGGTTGGTCGGGTCATTCGACATTGGGATAGGGCTTTGACTATGTTGCCATCGGTCCCGATCTCGCTCCACGCGCTAGCCGCTGCGGTGTTCCAGCGCCGGGCTGCGAAGGCTAGTGTTTCTCGGCTTGTGCAGTCCAAGCTGCTCCCCATCGCGCCGCGCGCGGGCCCCCGCCCGATGCCTCCCGAGGGTGCTTGGCAAGAGGCTCCGGACCAGGTTCCCGCAGCTATCCCTGGGACCGCTCGGGCGCAGCTCGGCCATGCCGAGGCGGCGGGTGCTGCGCGACGGCGCCCCCGGAGGCGCGGAGGCAGGCCACCCCCGGGGGGGGGGCCTCGTGGGCCCGCAGGTCAACGTGGGCCCCCCCTGGAAGCCGCCCGGGGATCGGGGGGCCCGAGGGCGCTTCGGCCCGCGCGCGGCGGCCCGGGTGGCTGGCCTTGGGCCGGCCTGGCGGGCGGGGCAAGTGCGGCCGACCTCGGCTGGCCCAGGGGCCCATCCATGGCGCTCCCCGCGCCGGCCGGGGGGGGGGGGGGGGGGGCGAAGCCTCGGGCCCTCAGCGGCCTGGAGATGTCCCACGGAGGGCGCAGGGAGCCGGCTCGTCCGTGGGCGGCCGCGTCGTCGCCAGCCGGTGCACTCCTTCTCGCTCTGCAGGGCATCGGCCGGCAGGTCACCTCGGCGCAAGAGGTCAGCTCCGACGACGGGGTGGAGTTCGGCCCCTGCCGAATCGCCCCCTCTGCATTGGTCAGGGGGCTGGTCGAGGAAGGAGTGGGGCGCGCGTCGGATAGGATAAGTTCGAGTGCCCAGTCGAGCCCATTGGTGCTGCCGATTTTCTGGTCCAGCATTTCGGCGTTGCTTCGTGGGGCTCGGGCCAGCTAGTCGAAGCACCAGCAGCGGGCCCTGTGGGCCCTTCTTTTTGAAATGTGGCGGTCCCAGGTCTGCCTCCCGACCTAAGAGAAGGAGTATAATGATCACCAGCTTTGATCACCAGAAAGAGTTTCGAGCACCGAGAAAGCACCGAACCTTGAGGGTTTTCACGTGTCGTACCCTGGGAGGCGATACTCGTTCGACACTGTTTCGATGCTTTTCTGGGTGCTCGAAATTATTTGGGGCATTTGGTCCTTAAGTAGGATGGGAGCATCAAAACCCTCTGGGAGAAGGAGGAGAAATGGGGGGTATAGCCAGGACCCCGGGTACGGGGAC